TCCTACCTTGAAAATATATATATATATATTACATTAATACATATTACATTAATACATATTACATTAATAAACAAAATATATATACCTATATATTAACATAGGCACATAGCTTGACTTATTTCTTTCTTTACACATTATGAACCTTTAATTGTTAAATTTTAAATTCAGGAACAAAATACATAGCTAAACTTACATGCATCCAATCTTCAATTGACATTGGTGTGGTAGGCTTTACTTTAGTAGGACAAATTGTAAATTCCAATTTCTAAAAGAAAGTAATACATTATAACTATGCGACTTCAAAATGTTTCTTTTGACACTTGCTTATTAAAACCACAATACGTACATGTTTTAGAATAAATTCATCTACTTTAGCATCATCTCCTAAAAAGTCCGTCCACTGTAGCTTAGATTCCCGCCATTGCTGTCCAAGTTTGATGGTTCCCTGATCAAATAAATTTCAATGATTAACCTAAAACTAATTTGGACTCATTTCTTAAATCCAATTGTGAACAAATAGAAACAATTTCTTAAAGATAAAACCAGTGATTTATAAATTTTTGTTAACTTTCTTTATCCCAAGCTAACAAAGCATTCATCACTACAATAAAACCTCAAGTGACCATTAGGAAGCCTATTCTGGATAACCATATTTAATTGTTATAACAATTTACAGTTACTAAAAATCTAGTAAATTTAGTTGAACTGTGAAAGTGAAAATAAGTGACAGATTTTCTCACTTTCAGAAATTCTGAAACAAAATGCGCCAACCACAAAACATATCAGATACTGTAATATTCAAGGGAGCCGGCAGAATAATATAAAAGGGGGTGCAACCCTCTAACAAACTACCGCCCCCCCCCAATTTTTTTTAAAATTATCCTGTTATTACATATACTTTCATCTGTTAATTTTTTTCAAGATGCATTTCTTCATTGTTAATAAGATATTTAAAAAAAGTACGAATTTCTTGTACTTTCTCGTTCTTGTTAATTTCTTGTACAAATTTTGCCACAAGAAACTGTATTGATGGCACTTGCTTAGCAACTAACTTTGAAACACAAATAACTACAAACAGTAGTTTCGTATACTAACGTGTTTGTGCACGTTTAACTTTGGTATTTATTGTGCTGATGAAGTTTTCCAGTTGTGAGAAGTCAGTTTGTGTTATACTCCTTTGTTAAAGTAAATAACTAGTAGAAAATATAATATTATTTATATTTTATTA